CTTTGACTTTCTTTGTTGCTCTAGATTTGCGAGGAGAGCGATTCCTTGGCTCATTCTTCGAGAGTTTTGCTGCATTTGTGATGGTGTGTGTGTTGGTGATGCAGCTCGGGTAGCTGGCTGGTCTGAATGGGTTCCTTGTAGACTTGTACGCCGTGGTTGTGTACTGGCTCGCCTGGTCATTGCGCCGCCACAGTTTAAATTCGAAATTGACTCCTTTGATTAGGATATAAGCGTGTGATTTCCGTGAGTATCGAGTTGTTGCTAAATGATCACCACCAAAGTTGTTCATCCAATTATTCGTTGTTGACGTACGCTCTGCCAAGTTGTTAGTACTCTGCATGTAGAATCATATCCATTCGAATTGATTTCATTTCCTTGAAAATCCATAGTCATATTCGTGGGGTATTAATTTTTTTCCGGAGGATTTTGACTTTTGTCAGGAGGTCTATTGTATTTAGAGTATTCTCAAGATCGCAAACCGAAGTCCTGAAGATAGCGAAATGGAGTTTCACGAAAATTTGATCGACTTGTCGTGACATCATTCTCCATCAACTTCACATCGAAAAAGCGTAAAAATCCCCCTCTCGTCCACGACAAAACGGAAATTGAATGAAATTTTTTCAGAATTTCAGATCGTTTGTGATCAAATTGGTGCATTGATTCCCAAAACCTGTTGGCGAAATTGTTGCAATTCGTCAACGACTGCCGTGGAAGGAGGCGGCGGGAGGAGCACAAGAAGGCGGAACACAGACAGTCTCTCCTACTTCATTACATGCATCCGTATCCCCGGGTCTAAGCAAACTGCAAGCTATCAAAATCCTTCAGGATGCTATGCAGTTGGTACGACAGCTTCATGGCAGTGGGTCGATCAGTGTCGTGGAAGTTGAGGCAGTCCTTGGCAAGCTGGTGGAGCTGGGACGGGATGTTGTCCGTGAACGTAGGCTGCAACGCGCCTTCGCTCACCATCATGGCGAGGCGGGCGTTCGAGAACCCGTTCTCCTTGGACTTGCCGAGCATTTCCGCATACGGCACTTGGAGTGTGTCGAGTTCGCTGAGGAGCACGCCAAAGCTGTAAATGTCGGCCTTCTCTGTGTACCGCCCGCCCGTGAGCACCTCGGGCGCGATCCATGCGACGGTCCCAATGTTGCTCGTCATGGTTTCTTCCAAGCTCGTGACGCGACTGATGCCAAAGTCGCTCAATTTCGCCTCCCACGTGTCGCTCAACAGGACATTCTTCGACTTGAGGTCGCGATGGATGACGGTGGGCTGGAACGAATGCAAGTACACGAGCGCGTCAATCACGTCGGCCGCGATCTTGGTCTTGGACGTGCCAAACGTGGGGTGCGGCACCCAGTGGAGGAGGCGTTGGGCGTCGGGCTTCTTGCGCTCCTTGCGGATGAGACCCGTGACGTCGCCGTTGGCCATAAACTCGGACAGGACTGCCAGATCCTGGAGCGTAGACCACGAAATCCCGACAAACTTGACGATCTTGGGGTGTTCGAGCCGCGCGCAGAGACGGATCTCGTTCATAAAGTCCTGAATCGCGTTCTGGTCCTTGGCCTTGGACGGAAGGAGCTGCTTCATCGCGACGTCGATTTTGTTGAATGTGGCATGGAACACGACGCCGTACCCGCCCTTGACGAGCAACGAAATGTTTTGAATCTCCTGTTGGGGAATGCGAAACTGCGCGAGCTCTGTGTCGAAGCGAATGTCGTTCTGCATCGTGACTTGGGTAAGCTGGTTCGTGCCGGTCGAGTGGGGCGACCCTCGACTGGATCCGCCGCGGGACCCGCCCGAGTTAATGTGGGACCCACCGGCAGACCGGTAGTCGGACTCGTACTTGGTGTTCTTCTTCTTCAAGAAAAAGTACGCAATCGCACCGAGGACAATGACACCGCCGATGGCGCTGATGATGATGTAACTCGTCGAGCTCGAACTCGGCGCGTCTGTCGGTACAGGGGTGTTGATCTTGGCGCAGATCGTACGAGGTTCCGTGATCGTGTCGCGGAGGGCCGTCGCGGAGTCCCACAATCCGCACGTTTCGACGAACAAGTCTGCTTCTTGTGAAAACTTGTTGCAGAACGTGCAATACGTGATGGTGTTTTTGGTCGCGACTTCAAAACAATTCTTCGAATAGAGCTGCATCGTCGTGACCTTTTGGCGGCATTCCGAGTCGCAAAACTTGGTTGGGAGCAACGTCGTTGAATTCGGACGGCAAACCGCGGCCATCGCTTGCGTCTCGTTGAGCATCTTGAGGCATGTCGGGGTCGCACAGAACAAATTCACGTCCGAGAGCATGCTGACGAGGGACCCCGTCGTGTTCTGGTCTTTTGTGCACACAAGCGTCTGGTTCTTCATCTTTAAGTCGAATGCTGTAGACACATTAGGTTCACACTTGGGCAAAATTGCCCCCGTTTGGGCCATTGCCGCCGCCGCTGCCGTCGCGGCCACGACCACCGCCTGGAACTGCATGGGAAAAAATGAAGAAAAAGTCGAAATTCCCCATCAGCCAATCACAGCACCTGCAGTAATGCGTTTCAAATGCTGTAGAAAACGTCTGCAACCCATGCTCGTCTCGTGCGACGTACCCTCTGGCGCAATACGTACGATCCCACACTGTCGGATCGGACAACGCACTCCAAGCAATAGGCGGCATACAGCAGTCTGTTCCCGCCACCAGTCAGCCGCAGGAAATGCCAGCTACGATTCTGGCCTTTCTCAAGTAGGACAGAGCTATCTCAATCAATGTAGAACAGTGTGTACTGCATATACTCACTGCAGTTGAATTGGACATAACGGACGCGTTCGAAACGAAGGAAAACCTCTGAAAATGCATACTGCCACCAGCGGCGGTCGCACGGTCGAAAGACACGAGCAGCTCGTGAGCACGGCCACCGGCTGCCGAGATCCGTTGCCGTGCTGCGCCTGGCGCGGATGGTGCAGGCCAGAGAGGACTGCGATGGTGCGTTTTGTGGCAAACAGGGAGAGGGCAGCCAGCGACGTGCGGATCCTGCAATCGATGTGTTGGCCAGATCGTGTCCAAATCGCCGCCGTCATACGTTTATGGCCGTGCCCGTGGCGCGACGGAGCGTTGTGCGGATGCATGGCCTTTTCATTTGGAGGAGGGGCAAGGAGCGGCGAGTGAGTGCAGTGCGGGGGGCACGGGATATCTTGACCAATACATGGCTCTGTTGGCTCGTGGGGTACATCGAGGGCGCCAGAAGCCTTGGCGTTGGCTTGCAGCAGCGTCGATGATGGCGGAGAGTGATGGAATCCATTCGGAGCCGGCTAGAGCTGTGGCGTTTGAGTACTCCAATGGCCATGGCACGGATTCCGGCGCCGAACGTGTCGAGCACGATGCTGCGAAGTGTCATCGCAAAGGCTTCAGCGCGACGTTCCACACATTGGCGCGGGTCAAGTCGTAGTAGTGGAGGCGCTGCCTTCGCTTGGACACGAGGTCGCCCGTCAGCGACAGCGCGTAGATGCGAAAGAGGCGGCGCTGGCAGAGCACGTTTAGGACGAGGAACAAGTACTGGTTAATGCCCACGACATACTGGTCGTTCACCACGACAAACCCAAGGAGCCACACGCCGGACGGAGACACAAACAGTTGCTTGGTGTGCATGTGCATGTAATCCTTGGTCGGCGCGACGAGCCCCACCTCGTCGGCCGCGATGCGCCCGACGCTTCGCTCGAACGCCGTGTTGTCGTTTCGATCGGCTTCGTTCAGCTCGTCGTACAACGTCGAGCGCCTCGTCCAGTGGGTCGTTTGGTAGCCGTGTCGGCGACAGTCCCACGGAGACGTCAAGAACGCCTTGAGCCGACGGCATGGATGTCTCGGACGACGCTTCGGTAGCACGGCAGGGGGCGACACCGCTCGCATGGCGTCGTATTTTTGGCGGTACACGAGCGCCGACCATGCCGCCGCCGCTACCACATACACCAACGAACATCCCACCGCGACCACGAGCCACGTGCACTCTGTCGCAATCAACAAGAAGTTCGTCTGGGAATTGTCATGCATCGCCCACAAATTCATCCCGCCGTTGCCGTCGATGATGTTGTCGTCAAAGTTTCGTGCGAGGAACGCGTTTGTGTCGTCGACGCCGATCCCGCACCAGTTGATCAAGTCCAACCGGCGGGCAAAGCACGCCATGTACACGACAACGACGACGGCGAGGTGGATGCGAACCCCGACCGCATCGGCGGCAATCGACGTGATTGCGAGGCACACCATGATGCCGTCGGCCCGCGTCATGTCCTCGAGAGCGAGTGTGCCCATGAGGCCCGTGCGGTAGTTGCCCTGGTTCATGCAAGACTGATGCGCGTACCACCACGATCCCATGATGCAGTCGAGGAAGAGCAAGCCTGCGCGGATCGTCGCGCGGCGCTGGATCGACGGGTACAGGTCCGGGAGCCACACCGTCCGGTCGCGGCGGTACATGTTGGCCATGACCAAGATCGCCACGATCGCATTCACCATCAAGTTGGACCCGATCCCGATCCCGAGGAAGCAGCGAAACCACCCCCATGAGTCTTTAAAGTAATACGAGTTGACGTACTCGACCGTGCCGGCGTACGCGATCGGGTCGGGAAACAGCGTCCAGTAATAGAAGTCGACGTTGGCTTGGATGTGCGGCGACTTGCGGTAGATGCCTTCGGTCCCCCCAAACGACACGCGGTCCCCCGTGCCCGTCATCCGCCCCGTCCAGTGTCCTGCCGACGGCACCAACGCGTCAAGCGTGACCAAGTGAAAGTCCCCCGCGTCGTACGGGAACGTCGACGACAGGGCCGCAAAGTACGTGGCGTCTTCCGACGACACGACGATCGGTCGTTCGTTCGTGTTGTCGGTGGTGGTGGCCGACAGCGCGGCCACGGGGACCGTTGTCCAAATGGCGACCGCGCCGGACGTCGACCGGTGCTGCCGATGAAGGTCCAAGCTCAGCGTCTGGATGAACAACGTGGTGAACGTCGCCAGGTGCTTGTCCAGCACGTGCGCTTTGAATGTCGACGTGTCGTTTTTGAGCCGGCCGTCGAACCCGCAGTCGACAACAATATATGACGTCGATCGATTCGATGGTGGCATGTCCGCCATGGCTTCGTCGAGCATCGCGCGCGCAAACGACTCGACGTACAGGTAGTCTGCGGCCGTGGGATGTGTGCACATGCGTGCGCGGATCTCGAGCGCATCCGTGGCGTTGTTGCGGTCGAGGTAGACCATGGCCGGGTTGCCGTCGGCAATGGCAGCCAGCGTCGTGGCGACGTCGTCTGGAAACTGCACCAGCGTCGACAGAAACTCGACGATGCTTGGACTCTTGTACGCAATGCTGACCTCGGCATCCATCGAGATCCCGACAAGCATCGCCCGCGTTTGCCGCGACCCCGTGACTTCGAAGTAGAGCACGACCATCGCGGCAACGCACGCCAGCAACCGCGACGCGTGAAGGTATGCCCTTCGAACCAAGCGCTTCGCCATGCGTTTTTGACGCCGTACGCGCCAAAGATAGACCACGGTGTACTGGCAGCGACCCGTTATGTGTGCATACAACGCGTCCCCATGCAACCGCTCAAGCGAGCGACTGTCGCGGCTCGTGCGGCGGACGACCTCCAAGAGAAAAACGCACGCACTGGCCATGGGATGCATCTCGCCCACCACGTGCAGCATGAGCTCTGGAATCGCACAGGGGCATGCTCCACGGCACCATGGCCATGACAGCACTTGCAGGCATCGACACGTGGCATCTGCTGCGACCTACATGGCGTCCACGATCGCCCCGATCCCGTGCGCGAATCCAACGCAAACACGATGACACATAGACACACTCGTTTACTCATCGCAGGCGCTTCAACGACACCCGCCAGACGTCGCGGCGGGGAATGTCAGCGGCCAGCAGCCGCGTCTTGCGTGCGCTCACGACGTCGCCGGTGAGGGCAAACCCGTACACTTTAAAGTACGTCTGGCCCACGAGCGCATTGAACGCGACCTTGATGTAGTGGTTGATGCCGACCACAAACTGGTTGTTGACGACAACAAATCCGAGGAGCCACACCCCCGATGGCGACACAAACACGTCGCTCCCATCGAGCTCGTAGTCGTTGGTGCATGCGACGAAGCCGTGGATGTTGGCCACGATGCTCCCCGCGCATCGTTCGACGTTGGCATTGTCGGTGTCTTGTTCATTGAGCTCGACATACAACGTCGACCGCAGCGACCAGTGGCTGCGGGGCACGACGGTGTCATGGCTCTTGACGCTGGTCTTGCCAACGTGGACGAAAAACCACTTGACGATCCAGCGGACGGGGTGCCACTGGAAGCGGAGCACCGATGGCATGGCTTGGCGCGACGTCGGTTTGCCCCGAGAGTCCCATGCGTGCACGAGCCCGACGTACGCGATGCTGGCGCCGCTCGCCACGATCAAGTACGTGCATTCGTTCGCGATGAGCCAAAAGTTGGACTCGTAGTTTTCGTGGTATGCCCACAAGTCCATGGCACCGTTGCCGGTGGGCAGGATGTTGTCAAAGTAGTTGTGCTTGATGAACGGCGTGACGCGCGCAACGCACAGCCCGATTTCTTGGATCAGCGACTGCCGGAAGGAGTAGCACAGCGCGTAGATCAAGACCACGGTCACAAGCGGCACGCGTACCCGCAGAGTGTGGGCCACCACGTACGTGGTGGCGAGCACAACCATGAGCCCGTCCGCCCGCGAGATTTCGTTGAAAGCAAGCGTGCCGCCCCACTTGTTGCGCACGCTTCCTTGGTTCACAGCCCACTGGTGGGGGTACCACCACCCATTGAGGACGCAGTCGACAAAGAGCAGCGACGCCCGGATCGACGCGCGGCTCTGGATCGACGGGTAAATGTCCGGGACCCACAACACGCCATCCATCGTCCACATGTTGCACATGACGAGGAATGCGACGGCCGTGTTGATGGCAATGTTGAACCCGATGCCGACCCCGAGGAAGCACCGGAACCAGCCCCAGCTATCCTTGAACACCTTCACGCCTTGGAATTGGATCGTCACGGCGAATGCAATCGGATCGGGCGGCAGGTCCCAGTAAAAGTAATTGAAGCTGGCTTGGATGTCGGGCGACCGGCGAAAGATGCCCGTCGTGCCAGCAAACACAAACGCTTCGTTCGTCGACACAATCGTGGCATGCCACTGCCCGTCCGGCGGCACGAGCGACTCGAGCTCGATCGGTTCAAATGGCGCCCACTCGTACGGGAACAAAAACCCCATCGCGACGTCATACCGTGCGGTCGCCGACGACGTCACGAGCCCGTCCACCACCTCCATCGACGCCACCGGCGTCGATGTAAACATGGCCACACCCCCAGACGTTCGCCGCTGCTTGGCGGGCCGATGGATGCTGAGCACTTGGAGCATCAATGTCGAAAACGATTCCACGTTGCTGTCAACGAGGAAGACCTTGACCACCGTCGTGTCATCGACTTGGCGCCCTTCATACGAACAATCGAAAACGACCCATAAGTCGGTCAAATTCCACAAAGGGAATTCGGCCAGGGCATACTTGAGCACGTTGTGCAGGTACGATGGCTTGTACAGGTAGTCAATGTCGGACGGGGTGCGGCATCCCGACGAAGCCACCGTGATGGGGCTCGTCGGTCCAAAGCACGTCCCAGATGACAACGCGTCGGGTGTGTCGAGATACCCGACAAACGACTTGTTGCTGGGGCTGCCCCCGAGAGCTTCGAACGTCGACCGGACGAGGCTGGGATTCGATACCACGACGGGCAGGAAAGCGCTGATGAGGGGGCTCAAGTACGCAATCGTTTGAGTTGGCGGCGTCGACACGCCTCCCAGCAGACGCTTGCTCGACTCCGAACCAGTGTACTCGTACAGAAAGACCATGCCCGCCGCGATGCACGCGAGCACGCGGCTCACGAGGAGCTTGACCTTCCTCACCCTCCGGCGCACCGACAACATGAACAACGTGTGGCCGAAATGGGAGCATGGTTGGGCCGACATGTGCCCGATTTAGATGGCTAATTTGAGATCGACCACATTCGTCGACACGCGGCACAGACGAACACGGCGCAGCATCCCCTTGGAAACAAGCTGAAGAAGGCATGGCGTGCTTGGACCGATGATATTTTCACTGCACCAAGGGTTGGCGCCGCCCGAGGGAACTGGTTCAACCTGCCGATCCAGTCCCACGCAGATGGGCTAGCGACCAGCATCCGTGGAGCAGCTCGACACATGTGCTGTTGCGCACGAAGTTGCGTTGACGATGGTGGACGAGATTTCGTTTGGATTGACGACCCGAGTCGCGCACCTTGTGGGCTCCATGCAGGTGCGCGGCGTCATGGAAACGTAAAGCATGCCCATCAAACGCTTCATGGCCGTCGACAATGCTTTGCTTACGATTGCGCGAAACTTGCGAGCACGGCGTCAAGCGCATTCTTTGTGAGCATGGCCATCACTTCATGGGCCGTCTTTATAAACACAGCTCGCCCGTTGTCGTGGGTATCGAGGTCGACGCCCCATCGGTGCCCTTCGTCCTCCAAAGAGACCACACCTGCGCCAGTCTTGGCCTGCGGCAGGATCTGCAGCATGCGCCAATGCGCCATCCTGTGGGCATCGCACCATTGAATGTCGTACCTGCGACTCACGACGCGTCAGCGACATCATCTCGAAAAGCTGTGTACCAAAACGATCGGTCCTTTTGAGGCCATTGCGACTGATCAACTAAGTCGTCAACCGAAATCTGCTGCCCCACGACAACCCACCGCGTTGGGGTCGGGTGAAAATGGCCCAGGACCACGTTGAGCGCCTCGCCGTAGCTCGTGACGACGCGGAGCATGTTGGTATGTTCGTGCTTCTCCACCTACCACGATTTCCGTCAGTGTCAAGTACTCGCACCGAATGGCGTCACCATCATGGTGGCGTCGCGGGGCAGCATCAAGTATGCCGTGATGTGGCGGTGGCACGCACGGAAGATCGAGTCGGACGTCGCCATGGCGTTGGTCGCAAGGGGCACGTGAAAGACAGACCGCAACCTTGTGATGTAGTGCCCATCGCCGTCGAAGTCAAAGATAACGTCGTCCATGGTGCCGTGCATGCACAATGGGACGTTGTGGGTGACGAACATCGCGTCCGCTTGATGCAGCATGCGCTGTGTGATCCAGCGCTGGCCCAACAGACGTGTTGTGGGGTGGCTGCTCAAGCTGACGTCTCGCCACGTCGATACGGATGAGCTCAACGACACCTGGGTCGTTCCTGTTGGCGCACGACAAGATATCAAACACACACCTGTGGATTGGGGTTGAGCGCTACCCATGTCTGCAAGTTGCGTAACAGGATCGAGTTCTTGTTCACCTGCAATCGCAGCACATCTCTCTTGGCAACTTCAGCATCGTGAGCATACCGCAAGGCGGACGCAATCTGTTTCCACGTCAATGGCGCGGTGTGCACCAACGACACAACTTCACCCTCCAACGAAGCGCATTGATCCACAAGTCGCTGCTTCTCGTCCAGCCGAGCCTTTGAATACTCACGCATCCTATCCCGCTTGTACCTCCGCCTTCTCAACTTCTTGTCAACATGCTCGAGCTTCGCCGGGTCCAACTCGCCGTCTCGTCCCTGCAGTTGCATGCTTTACCCAGCAAAATATTAAATGTAACGGGTACTCAAACCAATTCTCTGAGGTTTAAGTACATAACAGCAAGTAATATCATCTTTACTTATATTTTCAGTTGATCGGTACTTGCGACTTGTCCATGCCATATCAAGAAAAGACTGAAACAAAGAGGATATGATACTACCCGGAATAGTTTAGATTGTTCAGCACAGACTCTATGCAATTTCCCGATAGTTCTTTATTGAATTTGAAGGATATTCTAGGTACTATTCAACCAAAAATATCAATCCTTGGACTCAACGTCAGATGGGACCAAAACAACTTCGGAGAAAAATATACATTTTTCTTGCACACAAGCATGGAGAGATATAAATCACAACATCTCTGTGTAATTCGCACCACAATCTTGATCGCGAAAATGACACTTTCAAATACATTTATATTCTCTTGCATTAAGTCTGAAAAATGATGAATTTCGCAAATTTTAAATCTTCACATGACTTTTTGTATACAGTGATCCTTCAACGTTTGCTCCCTGCTATAAATTTATACCCTACAAAATTCTATTTGATATCAAATTTTTGAGTGCCTTCTGACATGGCTGCTCCGTTTGAAAATTCAAACTTGAGGCGGCAATGACCCCAGGTTGACAACCACAAACATTACGAAATTAGTTTGCATGGGGGGCAAGCGAAGCAAAAGCCAGAGACAAAACTGAACCTATGTGGACGCGTTAGTTGCTCAAATGGGTGGTTATGCCGACTTCAAATTCGCGACAATTTGAAAATGTACCGTCTTCACGGAGAAGCCGCGTATGCAAGTCCCACAACCGTCGCAACCGGCCGCGCCACGATCCAAGATGTCACCCGACGTTTCAACCCTTCCGACATCTACAATATGGATGAAACCAGTGTTTTTTTAAATTTACAACAACGTACCACAATCGCCGATCGACCGAGGTTGGGCCAAAAGCAAGACAAGAACCGGATTTCAGTTGGTCTTGCCACGAACACTGACGGGACCGAAAAATTGCAGCCGATGGTCATTGGGAAAGCCAAGAAGCCGCGTTTTTTCGGAGGCTTGACTAGCCGAGAATTGGGGTTGCTGTACCACCCTTATCGCAAGGCCTGTATGACCATGGCCTTGTTTTCAGAGTGGCAAAGCAACTTCAACTCACGGATGGCAAGTTAGGAAAGATTCGTCCTCCTCATCCTAGACAACGCATCATCTCACAACCCACTGGACGTCATCCGTACCAACGTCCGCCTCTTGATGCTCCCGCCGAACACGACTGCGTTCTTGCAGCCGATGGACGCCGGTATTATTGCATCGTTCAAGCGCCACTACAAACGACATCAATTGGATCATGTTATTGAAGTCATTGAAGGCAATACCAGTGTTGTCGACAGCGACCAGAGGAACTTGTACGCAGTCGACGTTCTGACGGCCATGAATTGGTCGGTGGCTGCTTGGGGCTGCGTCACGACAACAACCATTCGCAATTGCTGGGCCCATACAGGAATCTTACCTCTTGTGGTCCAATCTGCGATCTTCCTTCTGACCTCGGGCTATTCAATTTTTCGTTTGCTCAACTGATGCGATTCACCAGTCGCATGTAAAATATGATATTTGTTTGTTTTTTGTGCACATAAGTCCCTCGAATAATCTATAGTTGGAAAAGCAAGCAAACGTTGAGGGATCACTGTAGAAGTTCAATTTCATTGAATTGTGCAATCAAATACTAGTACATATGACAGTAAATCTTCTACTATCCTCCCGTAAGAAAATGTCGCCTCGTGAGCTTCGCTACAAATGGGCTATTTTGACATGTCGATGTCGCCGGCGGCGGCGAGGCATCTATTGATTGCAATAATAAGTCCCTTTAAATACAAGTTATCTCAAGCGCCACTTGGAAAATCCCACGAGCGCCAAAGGAGCTCATCCAAATATCCTGGTAGGTGGTTACGAGGAACTCCACGCATGGCCATGGTATACTGCTTCGCGCGCACTTACCACACACCCTCCACGGAATGCGTGTGGGCTCAATTGGCAGGGTTCACGAAGTTGTCTAAGTGATATGCCCATTGATGGGAGTATCAAATCCTTGCCAAGACAGGATTGTTAGCTAACGTGTGCTCTTCATTCGAAGACACCAACGACCCGAATTTGTCCAACATGATCAACGTACTGGGTCGCACTAGTTTTCGAATGAGAGCAGGCAACGTTCGCTTGGTTTGGTCTTCATAAGTCAGTACGCCAAACCACTTCTTCGTCGTTCTGTCGATGCCACCAAAATGCCAACATTCCGGATGCCGCTTTCCGCAATTGTACTTGGACTTCTTCTTGAACGACGTTTCGTCGACCTCCACTACGGAGCGCACTCCACCAATCTATAACAAGTCATAATATATGACGATTGTGAAGGCATGTATCAAATCTTAGTGGTACCTTCAATTAGCACTTGAGCATCTCGGACGAGCACACGTCGCGACAAAAACTGTACCAGTCGCTGGCAGTTCTGGAGGATACTTTGAAGCCTTCGATGACATCTGAGACAGGGCGTCGCGATGCCCAGTGTCACATGATGCGGACGAGGGTTGGAATCGGCAGGTTTGATTTTGAAAAGGATGTTCCCCATTTGACCCTGCTCTCAACTGAACCGCCTGATACGCGACGGCAGCGCCAGCGTTGGGACTTCTCGCACAAAGTCATGGCCTTCTCACACTTGTGACAGAGCATTGAGCTCGTAAATAAGCCCACTCGCAAGCACCGCCGTAGGCAAGACAGGCCATCTACAGTAGCCCGCATAATGACGTCCAAGGAGAAATCCTCAACATCGTCGAGGCTGTAAGAAGTCTCCATGGCGGCTAGTTGGTGTGTGCACGGGGGTTGAAAAAGGGTAATGAGTGAATCAACGGGGGTTGTTTTTGTTTTGTGCCTTAGTTGTATTGGTTGGTTGGTGCAATTGGTGGTGATGCCCGCTCAAACCGGGGGACATTTTACTAAGGTTTTAGGGTCCACAGGACTATTTTTTTCCGGATTGATATTTCGTAAGCAGACGAGATTTGACTTCTACTGTACATCCATTTAAAACATTTAGAATGATGGCGGTGCTTCGTCTGGGATTTCTCTCCGTGAGCGATGTGCGAAGGTGTCGTTGTCCGAGCTTGCATCTGGTTCGCTTCAAGAGGAGATGGCGCGTCTCCAGACGGCGTTAACCACGTTCCGAGCCAAGAATGGGTTTGGTCGAAGTATTGCCGCACCACAGATTGGGACCCAGAAGCGATTCGTCGCAATCCACGTGGAAAGCAAGCACACAACGCCGCAAGTGTATTTCAATCCTGAAATGACATGGCGCAGTCCCGACCAGTTTACCATGTGGGAGGACTGCAGATGCTTTCCAGACTTGCTCGTGCGGGTATCGCGACATGTTATATCCCTCCGTTACCTGGACAGTCAAGGCGATGTCGTCGAGGTGCACGAGTTGCCCGAGGCAGAATCCGAGCTTTTCCAGCACGAACTAGACCATCTCGACGGCGTGTTAGCCGTTCACCACGTGAGCAAAGAACCCCTGAGTGCCGAGGAGCTTCTCGAGCGGTATCCCACGCAAGTCATCCTTCGCACCGCGTTTGAAAGCGGAGCCAGAGAAGTACAAGAAGGCTGTGGACTATGTAATTTGAAATCGAGTCATGGAACGACAAGTCGTGCCCGCTCGTTCCAATACGTGTACATTCACGGCACGACAGCGATCGAGCTGTCCTTCGAACGACACCACAGCGAAGGAGATGGCAAAACGAGTCCACCTGACATGATTTTGAGAGATGATGGAGCATCTCGACATGGCCATGCGTGGTTGTGCGGCGGGGCGAGCCATGCCTGTACCACGACAGTGACGGTGCGTGGCATGCATCACAATGCCAAAGCCCATGCAGCCAGATGAAAGCAAGTGTTGGAAGGGCCCGATACGTTGTTTCGATGGGATCGAATGAGTTGCTCGAGCAAGTCCATTTCAACACCAGCAATTCAACGATGCGTGCAGCTCTATCCTTCGTGTGTCGAAGCTGGCGCATTTCTTTCGATCCGTCAGTGTTCATGCCGCCTTCGATTCCAGACAATGGCGTTGCAAATCCATGAAGGTCACGAGTGAAGTAAGACATTGGCAATAGGAACTTCTTGGAGATGAAGACTGCTCAGGTCGTACTAGCAGACAACGCCGTGTTCTTGGACACGATTGACGTGACGAGCGAGTGGAGCTCGGTGTATCTGGTTGTGGCCGCCGTCCATGGTTGAGGAATGGTCCCGCCAGGAGCTGCCGCCGCCGTGACAGCTCCGATGAAGATGGACCGACCGGCGTTATCACCGCCTGCCAAGATATTGGATTGAATAGACTTGTCGACGGCGCCATCGTTCGCCAGCAGTACAAACAGGATCCCGTAGAAGGCGCCTGGCAACGGGCACGACTTGCCGTATTTGTTGATGGCGGCCGAAACATCTTGCGACATGGCGACGTCAGCCAGCACGCTTGTTACAATGTCACGGATCGATGCATCAATTGCGGAATTGGTCGCGGCGCTTTCGATGGCGCTTCGAACCGTCGTTCCGTGCAGGACAATCTGTTCCAAGATGGCCGCGCCGGCGACCGCCGTTTCAATGGCAATGGCGGGGTGTTGATGCACCTGGACGGCGTCGCGCACAATCGAAAGCAAGTTGGGGTCGCCGGCGAATCGAGCCACGAGCAGTGGCACTTTGTTCAGACCTTGCGTGTCGGGGTGGTCGCTTGCCACGTTGGGGTATACTTTGCCAGCTTCTACGTTCCCAATGAAGTCGCGCATGACGCCGTTGAGGCGGCCCGTGTATGCCTTCATCGCGTCGTACGATGCAGAGGTATACTCGGTAGCGACAAACGTGCAGTGGGACGCCAGGTACTGCGCCAGCGACACGATTTCATCGCCATACGGAGACAAGTTACCCAACGGGTAGTCGTAGAACTTCGACGCGGGCGGCGAAAAGAACGCTGGGTCCTTGCCGCCGGCGACGAGAGACGCGAGCTCGTTCGGGTCGTAGATCCAGTGCAGTGGCATGGACGCGGCATCCGCGACAAAGCCTGTCACGGCGGCAGAAATGGCTCGGCGGGTGGCAGGTGTCATCGAACTTCGTAAATGCCGCCTCAACGAGGGGACGCACGTCGGATTTGGAATTCGGAGGATTTTTAAAAAAGAGACGATGAACAGAAAGGGTGGATATTGATTATATAAGAGTTTTAAAAAAATTGTTAGGAATGATCGAGAGACAAGCGGCCCACGTCATGCATCCGATGCCCGTCATGTTGGCAGGACAAAGGGCCATACCCCCGCCACAATGCGCATTCTAGGTCAAGCTTCATTGCGTAGAGGCAGAAAACGATCTATGTCCCATATGGAGGTTGGCTGTTGTGATGTAGAATGACATGTGTGCGAGACGATTTGGATGTCAGGATGCTTCCGAACTCGCCCATCGTATTCATTGCCCTCTTGTCCATCGTTGCGCTCTGCATGCACCTTGCAGTCATATCGGTAGGTGTGACTTCTGAGCGATCGAGACAACGCGCGGCAGTGGCTAGGTAGTCCCTCTCGCGTTGTTCGTGCCATGAGTGTGCAACAAGCGCATAACCACCGTGGCTCATCGGGGATACCATTCACATGTGGCTACCTTGAAGCAGCCCATGAGAATGCACCGCGGTACAAATGCCTTGGTCGATTGCCGACAAATCAAGCACACTGGTGTATATGTACAGCATAATAACTAATAGCATTAAGCGATCCTCTATTCATCGGCGGACCTTGCCAACTCGGCCTTAGCAGTCAGTAGCATGTGAAGGACCCGTTCGCTGGCCGGTCGGATGTGTGGGTCCTGCTGGAGGCAGTGCTTGACGACATTTGCGATCGCGGGCGGGCACGTCGGCGAGAGCTGCGGACGCAGGGCGCCAGACACGATCTTGTTGGTGAACGCCGTTGCAGCCATCGTGCTCTTGACGTCCGCGAACGGAATGAGGCCCGTGTCGAGCTCTGTGAGCAGCACCCCGAACGAGTACACGTCGACCTTTTCGGTGTAGTCTTCGTCCTCCATGATGAGTTCCGGCGCACTCCACTGAATGTCGCCAATGTTGTTGGTCATCTCTTGGTCGAACGTGCGGTCGCGGGACCCGCCGAACCCGCTCAACTTGGCAACTGTTCGATTCTTATTGAGCAGCACCTTGCTCGCCTTGACATTGCGGTGGATGAGCCGCGGCTTCAGGCTGTGCATGTACACCAGCGCCGAGCAAATGTCGATTGCAATACCGATCTTCTCGACGGACCACGTTAGCCGCGCAAACGCCCGCGGGTTGTCGAGCAAGTTTCGTAGCGTCCCGCCTTCCATGAACTCAGACAGACATACGAGACCCTTGGTGTCTGCTTCGATTGAGAACCCCACAAACCCGACAATGTTAGGATGCGCGATCCGAGCGAGCGATGAAATCTCGGACACGAGGGCCTTCCGGGACTTATTCTTGTCCTCCGTGGACGCATCCGAATCGATCGACTTGATCAAGACAGACGCGCCATGGAGGTTGCCCATCGCTGTCTTCATGTACGTCGCCGGAATCTGGCGCACGATGAGAAGGTCGTCGCAGTCGACAAAGTATTCGCCAAAGTACGGCGCCAAGTCGGGGTATGCAGATGCGTGCTGGATGACGCCAGACGCCGACGACGTCGTGGGGGTTGGGTCGTATCTACGAACGGACTTGGTCCGTCCGCCACGCGGCGTCTTGTTGAGCGTATGGGTGGACTTCTGGGTCAGCATCGCGGCCGGGGTCGGCGCATATGCCTGTGTGGACGAGGAGCAGCCCATGTTAGGAGTGATGTCCTCTTCTCGACTGCGTCAAATGCAAAATGAATGGTGCACTTCGTGAAGGTCACGTCGCTCGCGCCCGGCGGCATTCTTGTCGTGGGTACGATGGTGGTATGAGTTGTCAGGTCGACTGTGATTGGTCCGTGCAATCCAGAAATCGATGTGATTGGCTGATTTCTCTTGTCCAAGCTGCGACCCAACAGCCGCTGCTTCCGACCCGCCGACATCGCTGGATGCATGGCGCATCGTTCCATCGGCCACGACGGTCTCCAGCATCATCTGTGCGATGAATCGCTCTGGCCTCGGAAGCACGGCTGTCGACATGCAAGTCCTGTGCCAACCCTTCTGTAGCCGGGCGCGTGTGTGGTGATGGTGTCTCTTCCACGTCCCGAACGAGGCACACTGATTCCACGATCGTTCGTGACAGTCAACATGTGCAATGACAACGCATGCATCGTCGGGGTCGAATCTGCACGCTTCCAGCAAACAGCATCTGGGTAGTAGTGGTGGAACAAGTGAACTGCATCTCGACAACTCTCGCATGCGCTCGAGCGGGCTGTGAGCGCAATGTCGACCCGACTTGAGTACGAGGAAACGGAATGGGTCGACCTGACACGAAGGCCCAACGACTCCTCCATGGAATCCCCCCTTCCTCGAACATGCAGAGGATCAAAAGGTGGCGCAAATGGGCATGTGCACGACCGCCACGACAAATGCATCGACGCTTGACCGGCCCATCGTGACATCTGGTCCAGGCTTCGTGAAGAGGTATGTAACTCCTCCCAAATGTTGAACTGGCGGAGTCTCGGCGCTGCCCCCGCAACGAATCACCGCGGGTCCACCTGCATACTTCCAATTTGCAGCCGCTCCATCGCGGCAGTGCGCCAAATCGCAAGGAAGACTTGGTAGCGATGGGCTTTTTCATTCATCGAGATCGGTCGACGTACTACTACTAGGAGAAGGTAGTAGTTGAAGTAGTAGTACTAATAAATGTGGAGGCAGCACATCAAGGGTGCTGCTCCGGGCTGGTCAGCGACGCCTTGGCCGCCTTAAGCATCTCGAGCACCTTGGCGCTGGACGGACGAATGTGCGGGTCCTGTTGCAGGCAGTGCTTGACGACCTTGGCGATCTCGGCGGGACATTCAGGGCTCAGTTTCGGCCGCAGCGCGCCAGACACAAGTTTGTTGGTGAGCGCAGTCGCGTGCATCGTATCCTTGATGTCGGCATACGGGAGCGCCCCCGTGTCGAGCTCGGTGAGAAGCACCCCAAACGAGTACACGTCAATCTTTTCCGTGTAGTCTTCATCGTCCATGATAAGTTCCGGCGCACTCCATTCGATTTCGCCGATTTTGTTGGTCATTTCCTGTTCGAACGACCGGTCGCGGCTCGCGCCGAACCCGCTGAGTTTGGCTTTCGTGCGAGATCGATTCAAGAGAACTTTGGATGCCTTCACGTTGCGATGGATCAACGTTGGCTTAAGCTGATGCATGTACACAAGCGCCGAGCAAATGTCGATGGCGAAGTTGATCTTTTCGTTCGCCCACGTGAGCTTGGCAAATTGCTTCGGGTTGTCCAGCAACCCACGAAGAGTTTTGCTCTCCATGTACTCTGAAATGCACACCAAGCCCATTTCAGGGCTGATGGAGAATCCCTTGAACCCAACGATGTTGGGATGGTGCGTTCGCGCCATCGACGAGATTTCAGCAACCAAAGCTTTGCGCGATTTGACGATCGTGTCGGCTGGCGCAGCCGTGTCAATCGACTTGAGCAAGACAGACTCTCCATGCAAGTTGCCCATTTCAGTCTTCATGTAGCTCGACTTGACAGGACGCACAATCGTGAGATCTTCGATATCAACCCAATACTGGGCCTTGAATTGCTCAAGCTCAGCATACTGACTCCAGTCAACCTCGGCTGTGGTCGTGTTGGGCGGTAGGACATTCGTCTGGAATACGGGCTTGGTATCGACACGTGCGAGCGGAGGGATTGGCGCAGGATTCGGCCGCTCGGGCTCGCGTCGTACAGGCTGGTGCGCTTCCGACGACTGGTTGCACCCCATACTCGCAAGGACGGAGACGGGAAAATGACGCTTCTACAGGTTGCTCCGACTGGCTTTCAAAGTTTGTGAGCAACGTCACCAGATGATCATTGGCTGAAAGACATTTGAATACATCCAATAAGAGACGTCCATTTCACGATGCCGTGATCTGGTTGGACAACCCAGAGATCGGGCGTCAAGCTTTCAACATAAAAAAATACAATAGTCGCTTCTATTGGGTCGTTGCACAGCGCTGAAATTAAATACACAAAATGTTATCATGATTGTTGCTTGTCGTCGGTAAAGAGGTGTGCAGCCGCTAACTTGATGTGGGTGAAGCAGCTTCTAAACATCGGCGCGTACATTCAGACAGAACAACCAGCATGGACGGGATCTAGCTCCGGGAGTCGTTGACCGCGGCCTTGGGTGAACGGGAGCTGGGATCTTGAACACGCATTCGCGAGAAAAGGTGACATATACGACACTCTCGCAATACACACATCTCAAGGCAATTTCCAAGTGCACAAGGTACGTCCAATCTTCAAGCAACGGAATTCTTAGCCATGGCATGGACAAGACGGCGTATTGCGGCGTTGGCTTCACCTGCACGACCCGACTTACCCAGATAAAAACGTTGCGACTGACAGAAATTGACCACTTGAAGTAGACACATTATCCGGATGATGTTCGTCCACGCAGATTCGTGGAAATAGACAATCGTTTTGATTGGCTGAAGAAATTTCCTAATCCGTCATCACCGAGGTGTCGCGCACTACAAGAATAACCAACTCTCACATCAACCCCCACTGCCCCAGGATCACGTTGGATATGCGGTGGCCGTGCACTGCCCAGCGGACATGCTTGAGGTCGCATCTACCATGCTTGGAAACTCGCGGCGGCCACGAAATCGGCCGCTTGCCACTGCCACACTCGTTCTCAAGTAGTCTACTACTTCGTGGATTGCAGGGACGTTGTCGACAGCTCGACGATCATTTCGGGTGGTCTCTGTGCATTCACGACCGATACGCCCAGCGGAAGTGCGAGATGCGGCGGCCTTGTGAGCCTAATAACTCGGCGCTGGATCGAGAGCGACACAAAATTTCTTATCCTTCAGTCGTACACAGAAATATACTCGGTCACACGTTTTGGTGATACGCATCAATGGCGCGCTCAAGGAGGCGCTGGGCGTCGCGCAGACGGGTCCCGTTGAACTCTCGCAGCACAAGGTAATCTCCGTCCACTTCTTTTTCAAACCCGATGCCTCGGAGGAACATGGTGCCGCCGATCAGCGACCCCACGCGCTTCTTAAACGCCGCGTTGGTTGAATTGATTCGTCCGTACTTGTCCAGTTCCGTGGGGTTCTCGAGCAGCTTGGTCACGTACACGAGGAGAGTCTTGAGGGCCGTGAGCCCGTCGTTGCCGACGCGGTATTGCGACAAACGGTTGACATTCGTTTCCAAGTCGACTTCTGGGGCCGCTACTGGCTTCGCAGGCGAGTGCGCGGGGGCAGCAGCAGCTGCAGTGACGGGCTCGGGGGCGTCCAGCGAAGTCGCCGCTGTCAACTTGCCTATGCGAGCCGCGGCGAGGTCAACGACCACGTGTCGACGTGATGACGGTACCGTTGTGCGCTCGTCGCTCGGCCTTGTCGAGTTCGATCTGCTTGAGTAAGCGTTCTCGCTCCCTTTTTGCTTCGAGTTTCTCACGAGCTTGCTTCTCACGCATCAGTCGCGTCTGGATCGCATCGTACTCTTCCTTGGCCGACGCCATCTCCTTGCCCATGTTCCGTCGTGCAATTTCGCGGGCGATTTCGTCCTTCTTGGATTGAGCGGCGCGCATGACCTTCTTTTCCTCGATGCGGCGCTTCAGTTCGGCGACTTTGGCTTCCTTCTCCTCCGTCGTGAGCACCTTCCGTTGCTTCTACGACGGAAACCATATTGTCAGCGAAGATCGTTTTCACTAGACTAAATCATCTCATGAAAGCACACCGCCACACATGAGGCGAAACTCGCCGGCAAAATGCTGTCCATGCCCCGTCCCCCGAAAACGAAATAGCAGCATCAGCAAATATACCACGTACAGCTAGGTCGATGAACTGAATGGGGGCATCAATGTCGGCGTCTCCTTCGTGCTCTTCGATCCACGATATCGCAGCCTCCAACGAATTCTGATCGTTCGTGGCCAAGAGAGATTTGCGTGCGCGCACTTCTGGGAACCCCATCTCCGTCAGCTACGTCAGCGTAAACACGCGTGAGAATCGCTGCGCTCATACGTGAGTGTAAATGCACCTGGCCCAGGAACTCCTCATTGACCGGTGGAATTTCAAGGTTGGGCTCGCCAGACACATGAGCCGCTTGATCTGCTTGGGCGTGTTGTAATTCCTGCTGGGAGAGCAAAAGTGCCTTGGCGAGTTCTTCGTCTTCCTTCTGTTCCTCTTCTTCGGTCAAGGAAGGTGCAGCGACTGGTGCAGGTGGAGAGAGTGTTCGAAGGGCCGCGGACGCATCCTGGTTGAACTTGCGCAACCGGGCTTCGCGGGGATCTTCCCATGTGGCCCCGCCATTGCCTAGCGCAACTCCTTCTGACGCAAACGGGTTGTATCCCGCAGATGCCCGCCACGTGTCGATTTTGCGTTTGAGGGAGTTCACATCAGCCCCGACTAGTTCGTCCACCTTTTGCGAGTTGATATACAAGTGAAACGTGGGAAATCCACGGATCCCAACTGAGTGGATCACGTCCTCGTTGTGGGCTTCATTCACTTCGAGGAATACGACGTCGTCGTACTCGTTCGCCCATTGATGGAACGTCGGTTTGATGTATTGGCATGGCCCGCACCTAGAACGAAAGATCGTCACCCATGGTCCAAGATGCATGCAACAATTCAGTATAAACAGTACCAAGTGGCCGTGAAGTCCACCACCACGAGCTTTCCACCGGCGCCGCGCAACTTGGCATTAAAATCGCTCTGGCCATGCACATCGATGACTCCCATCGTTCGTCCGTCGTGCAAAGATGTTTTTGCGGCCGAGATGCAGCGACAAACCTGTGGAAATCCCTCTGAAGTTCGATTTCGGAGCTTGCAAGGTGCTTCTAGTAACCATCTAGTAGACTCGTGGTACTACAACCAACATCCCCGAAAATAAAGTAGTATTCAACAGACATACCTGCACTTCTGTATTGTTGTGAATAAAATGCTGCGTGTAGTTAGTAATCGATGTCCCATATCTAGTAGAACAAGTCACACATCCGTTGCTGTTGTCGCAGCAACTCGTTCTGACGTGTTCAAGACGACAACCTAACGGTCGGGGATGTCGTTTCAGGGAGGCATGTTCGACGGCGAAGCAATCTCCATTCTCCCTTGCTCGGAGTTGACTGCCCCATCTCGTGACAGAGCAGGGTTATACGCGTGCTGAGAATCAGTGCGTGAGACAAATTGGAGTAAATAACACGCTGTAGGTCATTTGGCATGCGAAATCTGGACTTATCGGTTTATAGAGGGTCTTGAACAAGTACGTTAAACGTAGTTCAACGCAACCATCGAGCCCATCTTGGCGAATGTTTTACTCGGAGTAACAGTGCAATAGTCGATGTTTAACTCATTTAAGCTTATAACGCACTTGGTGGGATTTAAAACGCAACTGAATTTGCTTTCGCGCGAAAATTCAACAAGAATGGATATTCAGCCCCAGTTCGCAATTTACGCCCCACCACCTCCATTGCTCATGGGCTGCACCACGTCCAAGAACGTGGCCTCAGGGAGCACGCATTCCACGATAACAACACGGTCGTATGATGCGCACTCTCACGGAGCGTTCTCCCCACCTCGGAGAATGAACCAGACATTGCGATCATTCCGACAATTGCATTCTTTCAGCCCCACCATGATCTTGAACAAGGCACGGTCAAACCAGAGCTTTCTTCCACACAATCTTGGACCTGCCACCCACGATGACGACGCTGACTGGTCAGAGTACCGGCAGCTGCAGCCCTACAAAGACAGGTACTGGATCGATCACGACGACATCATGATTGTTCGCCCGCTTTCGTGCACATACATGAAGACAGACATGGCAACATGGAAAGGCCAATCCGTGCTTATGAAATCCGTCGACATGACGAAGGAACCCGACGAAATCGCAAAGTCCCGTAAAGCGCTCGTCTCGGAAGTCACATCGATGGTTCGCATCCAGCACCCAAACATCGTAACCTTTCTCGGCTTCAACTTGTCCCCACAAAATGGACTCGTGTGTGTATCTGAGTTTATGGAACACGGCACGCTGCGTATTCTGCTAGACTCGCCCAAAACTTCTGCAGCGTTGTCCTGGCGCTACGACAAGATCAAGTTTGCCATTGAGATCTGTGAGGCGTTAGCGTATATGCATGGCCAAAAGCCGCCGTTGATTCATCGAAACATCAAGGCGGGCAAAATTTTGCTAAGCCACACCTTTATGGCGAAGCTGAGTGGTTTTGGCTTGTCCCGCGTCCGCATTTTCGAGGACGAAATGACAGCCAAGATCGGCGACATCGAGTGGAGCGCGCCAGAGCTCCTCGTCGATGGCGAGGATTACACGGAAAAGGTCGACGTGTACTCGTTTGGTATCGTTCTCACGGAGCTGGATACACGCGCCCTGCCCTTCGCTGAAGTCAAGTCGACCCTACATGCCACGGATTTTACGAATGCATTGGTGACAGGGTCCATTCGACCAAAGCTTTCTACAGACTGCCCTACCGTGATCGCTCAAATTGTTCGGCACTGTTTGCAACAAGACCCTCACATCCGCCCCACCAGTGCCAAGGTTCTGCAGATGCTCAAGGAAGCCAAAACACAACTGCACGACCGCGCTGTGGCGCCTGCTGAAAACGTCAGTGGCAACTCTATCGGTGCAGCTCTCGACAGTCCACCATGATCGCAGCCACGAATAAAGCCCCAAAGCCGCCGACATCACGCCGTGGTGTCCAAACACCTCTCGAACCTTCCAACGAAGCACCGAACTCTGCTCCGACGATCGTGAGGCGGGTCTTGATTCACGCTTTTTAACTTGCATCTTGTCCATTCGCCATTTCCTTCCTCTCTTGTTGACGTTTGGCATGCTTGCACTGTCGCACCAGGTGCTGCATGCAACCTCCAGTTCAAACCTCCAGCGCAACGAAGGTCCTTTCGTTGACCCATCCACAACCTCCCTACCTTGGCGTGCCTGCCCCAACGGAGCCATCCATCCTCCACGGCACGTGGTTGCGCACGACGCGCGGCCGTCGGCATGAAGTGCTTGCTCCACCGTCGTTCGGTTCGATCGTACACCAGCTCTGGCGAATTTGATTGGCTCATGGCGAATTATCCGGATGGTGCATGCCATTGGGCAAGTCTCCGGATACGCGGGATGCACACGACGGTGGTGGTGGCGGCGGCGGCGGCGGCCGTGTGCTCGGCGGCCTTGGTGTGGTACAATCTTCGTGCGTCTGCTGCGAAGGCTGCAAAGGACGAACTCAAAGCATTGGCCAAGATTGAACGGGAGGGCCGTGTGCGGCTACAGATTGCTCTCGGCGCAGCCCAAGATCGTATCAAGTTGCTGGAGGCGGCGATGCCATCCAAGGACACGAAAGCCGTTCCCCTCGTGACATTTCCCACGATCGGGGTCGTTTCGTCGCCGTACTCGACGCGGAATGGCACGCCGCGCCAGCCGTCGTTGGTCGAGTCGTCGCTGGCCAAGCTCGTCCTTTACAAACACATCCCGACCACGACCCTCGTCTCCCTCGCCGAGTTCTCCCATGTGTGGGTGTTATTCCACTTCCACCAAAACACAAACGTGCACAAGAGCAAGATCAAAGGCACGATCAAACCACCACGGCTCAACGGGCAGAGCGTCGGCGTACTGGCCACCCGATCGCCGCATCGACCAGCAGCTCTCGGTTTATCTCTTGCCAAAGTTGTTGAAGTCAATGTTGCCGAGGGGTACGTGCTCTTCCAAGGTCTAGACCTTGTCCATGCGACACCCGTCGTCGACATCAAGCCGTACGTCGCATTCAGCGACGCTCCCGATACAGCCGGACACTTTGCCCCGTCGTGGGTCGGAAAGGAACATGCCGAAGCGGACGAGCCGCTTAAGATATCCCAAGTCGTGTTCGCGTCGTCGGAAGCCCAGGCATCGCTGGAAAAGGCGTACGCGATCTGCAAGTCGAAACGCGGCAAGAAGAGTGGCATCTTGTTGTACCCGACGTTCGATCGCTTTGCTGCGTTTGTCAAGGAAAACCTGAGCCTAGACATGCGGAGCACCCGCGAACGCGCCGACCCCAAGTTCGACACGTACCGAGTCACGCTGTGCGACGTCATGGTGCACTACAACGTCGTGGCAAACGACCAAGGGCCCCAAGTCGAGATCGTCCGCGGCGAAGTCGTCACGGACGAGTGGCAACAGCCACTCAATGCAACGGCGATGCCCGAAGAAGACGAAGCTAGCGACGACTCCACAGGACCAGAGCAGCCATAGAGACAGCATCGGCGGCGCGTGGGTTTATGTACTTCATCGCGATCGGAATGCTCGATGCGTTGTTGAATGCAAGTGGGCTGCTGCCATGATGTGTTTGACGTGGGGCTGAGTGGCAACTGCGAAACAGACGCGTCGTCCTGAACAGTTTTGAGATGTCCACAGCAAGCACGGAAACAACATCCTCGGAACTGGCAATTCTTGGAAGTACGCGAGTGTGAAGCTTGTTGTCCAGTCAAGACGATGTTTGGCGCAGTCTGATGGGCCATTCGCTTGTCTTGGCAGCCCCTTCCTTGCATTACGTCCAGAGATTCGCTGGTTCACGGCCCATCGCGTGCCGAGACGGTACCGCGTTGTCAAAGAAGTAGTACGATCGTGCACACCATCTCGACCGTTCGCATGAGGGGGCCCATCTGGCACTGGTTACAGCGTGCCAAAACTCGCATTTCACTCACCGGATGCAGTCATGGAGACGATCCAGGTTCGTCACAAACGGACGCGCAGCCAAGTACACTCGACTTTGACCGCAGGAACGAGTCGCGTAGGCGAGCGCGTCACAAACCACCACTTTGGCGACTGTCGGATGTGAAAACTTCCAACGAGCAGCGTGTGCTCTGCTGTCGCGCGAGATCCATTGTCCTGTCAGGCACACGATAGTTGCTAGTTCATGGCAAGTGTCGTCACGATGGGCTCCGTTGCCGTGAACGACTCGCAAGGGCTGCAACTGGTCAACCCCACGACATGCACCGGCGTGTGGGTCTTGAAACCCGAGGGACCCCAACGTCCCTTTGTTTCTGGCGTGATGCTTCAATTGGGACCGATTCTAGAATGCCTCCTTCGTGACGACGGACGTATTTCACATCGCTTCGACGGCCAAGAACGACGTGTCAGCGCTCCGTGTGGCGCTCGCTGCATTCGACACGCCGGGCGGCGGACGACCATTCGACGTTTCGTCCGCTTCTTGAACTCCCAGTGGGTGGACGCATCGCCATGTTGCTGGCGATTTCGGCCAGCTAGGTCAAATTACTCCTCCATGCCGGCGCCGCCACACATCTCGGCAAGTGCAACCGATGCCTGAGAGGCATGTAAGTTGGGCATTCCCCGCTGCTCTAGGCTGTATTTCACAACCAGACAGAGATATGCCCGCTCCAAATGAATGTGGAGGCGGCGGTTTAGCTGCTGTAGTGTGCGCCTGCCTGACAGGGTGACGTCGACGCCGTTCATGGCATGCCGAACGAGTGATGGAATTGTGTTGTTTACACGTCGACCGGGGCGATCCATAGCTAGCTAGGCAGAGCCACGCAAGTTGTGCCACAGCCACAAGGCGCCAACACTGCGAAAAAACACGTTGACCCCGATCAAGGCCGCAACATCAATTGCCATGGAATACTCGTCCAGCGACAACGACGCCAGAACGTCCGCCCCCGTGGTAGCCACACACACTTGGCCTTGGGCACATGGAATCACGTCCACCGACGTCCAGAACGCGCGACTCATGCCCCGGAAACAGTACTTTAGTGGCGACAAGTACTCCAACCAAATGAGGTACACGGGGGACGTGCTGGCGTTGAGGAAGAATCCGCCAAAGATCATCATGGGTAGCATAATCGTGATGCCCACGATGTTGGCGACATGAGGGTGGCGCGTCATGCAGCTCGTCATGTAGCCGAGACCGACGGCTGCACTGGTGAGGAGGACGATGTACACGAGCAGCGACTAAAAGAGTTGCCAGTCGGTTTGGAAACCCACCATGACATACATGATGCCCATCCCCAACGTTGGGAAGAGCACTTGAAACCCCGCTTCGCTGGCGTTTTTGGCGACATACCACACCCACAAGTTGTACAATCCGCCGCGGTATTCCCGATCGAGCATGGGGAGCTCCAGCGGCACGGTAGCAAACTCGGGCTTGGTGTGGTTGAAAAAAAACATGATCGTGACCAAGAAGAGCGCGCCAGAATATCCCTGGATCCCGGCTTGATCCACTGCCATCTGCAAGTAGATTAGCCCGACCAACACGCTGCAACAGACAGTTTGGACCACACGCGCTTGGAACTCCAGTTTGTCGCGAACAATGCGACGAAAGTTTCGCCCGCACAGCACGCGAAGTTGACTCCACCACGCCAAACGGACGCCGTCAGGAGATTGACGTGGGCTAATCGTCCAAGCATGCAACGGTGCCGCCCTTTCCTTGTCACCTTCTGGACGGGTCTTCCATGCTTGAGCCAAGCGTTCGACACGCGTGGCGGCCTCCGACTGGGGGTCCAGCACGATGATTTGGCGCATGAAGTAGTCGGTCGGGTTCATGTACGTCGGGCACGGCAGCCCCTGCGACGCAAAGTACGCGACCGCCTCGGACGCTTTCCCGTTGTAGATCGTCTGGCCACCGCTGAGCAAGTACAACTGGTCAAACAACGTAAAGAGCTCGGACGACGGCTGGTGGATCGTCGCCACGACTGTGCGGCCCTCGCGCGCAAGTTTCTGCAGCTGCAGCACGACGCTCTCGGCCATGAAGCTGTCCAGTCCGCTCGTCGGCTCGTCCACAAACAAGAGCGACGGGTTGGTCAGGATCTCGGTCGCGAAGCTCAGCCGCTTGCGCTCGCCGCCAGACAATCCGCGGACGTCCGTGACGCCGCCGATCTGCGAGTCGCGGCACTTGGTCAGACCCAGCTCGTCGATCACGTAGTCCACGCGGGCCTCGCGCTCGGCCGCGTTGAACGCCTTGCCCATGCGGAGCTCCGCCTGGAACATCAGGTGCTCCTTGACCGTCAGCGTCGCGTAAAACACGTCGTCTTGCATCACGTACGACGCGTATCGGTTCATAGCCTTGGTCCACTTGTGGCCGTTGACGGTGACGGTGCCGGTGAAGTTTTTGTTGCGACCAGCGATCACGTCGAGCATGGAGCTCTTGCCGGCGCCGGACGGCCCCATGAGTACGACGAGCTGACCAGGGCTCGCGCTTCCGTGGTTGTCTTGAAGGATGACCTTGTCCTCGACTTGCTTTGTCACTTGGTTCTTAACTTTGACCGTCACGCACACGTTGGTCCACTCCAAGTGAAGTGGAAAAGTTGTGTTTAAGGTAGCGCTAGCTTTCGTCATGGTCAATCTAGAAATGCAGCGTCAGGCACCGTGAACTGTCGCGGCATTCCTAGCATCTCAAGTTTCGCCCTGACCGTGATTGTATCATTGATTCATTGATTATGCTGTCGACCCGATTGTTGTGTCAGTTTGGGACCAGCATTCAGTTCATTCAGAATGTGTGTGATTACAAGCTACATTTATACTCCGGACTTCAGTGCCCGAAATAATTGTACAGAATACGCAAATTGGCATCTTTACCGTAAGTCGTACCACTCTGGTCCGTAATGTATGTTTTATTGACTTTTCGATTGGAGGGATTTTTCCAATATTGGCTGTATATTCGATCTGATTGGTGCGATCGAAAGCGCAAGGTAAGCACTTTGATTGGCTGTTTTCAGAACAATCCAATTCGTTTTACTTGTACAGTACTACTCTGTTCGCAAATGATTGCAACATTTCACGTTTTGTTGAAGCGGAAAAAAGTTTGCTACATTTGAGTTTTGACCAATAGATGTGGATGCAATGATGATTTCGACCAATGACCGTCAATCAAAAAGGAAAATATTTTTGACCGATACTATGGTTTTA